GCTCCCCTCCTGCCTCGTCAAATGCGCGCAGTCACTGGGGCAGTTGGTTTGTTGCAACATCTGGAGTCCAGGGGTTTTGCAACATCTGGAGTCCAGGGGGCCATGTGGCCGGAAGTTTACCAAGCTGATGCTCATGATGCTCCCCTCCTGCCTCGTCAAATGTGCGCAGTCACTGGGGCAGTTGGTTTTTGCAACATCTGGACCATGTGGCCGGAAGTATACCCAGCTGATGCTCATGATGCTCCCCTCCTGCCTCGTCAAATGTGCGCAGTGACTGGGGCAGTTGGTTTTTGCAACATCTGGAGTCCAGGGGGCCATGTGGCCGGAAGTATACCCAGCTGATGCTCATGATGCTCCCCTCCTGCCTCGTCAAATGCGCGCAGTCACTGGGGCAGGTGGTTTTTGCAACATCTGGAGTTTAGGGGGCCAGGTGGCCGAAAGTATACCCAGCTGATGCTCATGATGCTCCCCTCCTGCCTCGTCAAGTGTGCGCAGTCACTGGGGCAGTTGGTTTTGCAACATCTGGAGTCCAGGGGGCCATGTGGCCGGAAGTATACCCAGCTGATGCTCATGATGCCCCCCTCCTGCCTCGTCAAATGTGCGCAGTCACTGGGGCAGTTGGTTTTTGCGACATCTGGAGTCCAGGGGGCCATGTGGCCGGAAGTATACCCAGCTGATGCTCATGATGCTCCCCTCCTGCCTCGTCAAATGCGCGCAGTCACTGCAGCAGTTGGTTTGTTGCAACATCTGGAGTCCAGGGGGCCATGTGGCCGGAAGTATGCTCCCCTCCTGCCTCGTCAAATGCGCGCAGTCACTGGGGCAGTTGGTCTTTGCAACATCTGGAGTCCAGGGGGCCATGTGGCCGGAAGTATACCAAGCTGATGCTCATGATGCTCCCCTCCTGCCTCGTCAAATGTGCGCAGTCACTGGGGCAGTTGGTTTTTGCAACATCTGGAGTCGAGGGGACCATGTGGCCGGAAGTATACCCAGCTGATGCTCATGATGCTCCCCTCCTGCCTCGTCAAATGTGCGCAATGACTGGGGCAGTTGGTTTTTGCAACGTCTGGAGTCCAGGGGGCCATGTGGCCGGAAGTATACCCAGCTGATGCTCATGATGCTCCCCTCCTGCCTCGTCAAATGCGCGCAGTCACTGGGGCAGTTGGTTTTTGCAACATCTGGAGTCCAGGGGGCCATGTGGCCGGAAGTATACCCAGCTGATGCTCATGATGCTCCCCTCCTGCCTCGTCAAATGCGCGCAGTCACTGGGGCAATTGGTTTTTGCAACATCTGGAGTCCAGGGGGCCATGTGGCCGGAAGTATACCCAGCTGATGCTCATGATGCTCCCCTCCTGCCTGGTCAAATGCGCAGTCGCTGGGGCAGTTGGTTTTTGCAACATCGGGAGTCCAGGGGGTATACCCAGCTGATGCTCATGATGCCCCCTCCTGCCTCGTCAAATGTGCGCAGTCACTGGGGCAGTTGGTTTTTGCAACATCTGGAGTCGAGGGGACCATGTGGCCGGAAGTATACCCAGCTGATGCTCATGATGCTCCCCTCCTGCCTCGTCAAATGTGCGCAGTGACTGGGGCAGTTGGTTTTTGCAACATCTGGAGTGCAGGGGGCCATGTGGCCGGAAGTATACCCAGCTGATGCTCATGATGCTCCCCTCCTGCCTCGTCAAATGCGCGCAGTCACTGGAACAGTTGGTTTTTGCAACATCTGGAGTCCTCCTGCCTCGTCAAATGCGCGCAGTCACTGGGGCAGTTGGGTTTTGCAACATCTGGAGTCCAGGCGGCCATGTGGCCGGAAGTATACCCAGCTGATGCTCATGATGCTCCCCTCCTGCCTCGTCAAATGCGCGCAGTCACTGGGGCAGTTGGTTTTTGCAACATCTGGAGTCCAGGGGGCCATGTGGCCGGAAGTATACCCAGCTGATGCTCATGATGCTCCCCTCCTGCCTCGTCAAAAGTGCGCAGTCACTGGGGCAGTTGGTTTTTGCAACATCTGGAGTCGAGGGGACCATGTGGCCGGAAGTATACCCAGCTGATGCTCATGATGCTCCCCTCCTGCCTCGTCAAATGTGCGCAGTGACCTGGGGCAGTTGGTTTTTGCAACATCTGGAGTGCAGGGGGCCATGTGGCCGGAAGTATACCCAGCTGATGCTCATGATGCTCCCCTCCTGCCTCGTCAAATGCGCGCAGTCACTGGGGCAGTTGGTTTTTGCAACGTCTGGAGTCTAGGGCCGAGGGCCATGCGGCCGGAAGTATACCCAGCTGATGCTCATGATGCTCCCCTCCTGCCTCGTCAAATGCGCGCAATCCCAGGTCGCTCAGCCGAGTCGCGAAGACGAGCGAAGAGGTCCAGCGCTTATCGAAATCAGCACACGAGGGCCCTCTAGGGTCGAATCGCCATCAATCACCCAGTTTTCGGTGTTGACGCGCACAAAGATGCCTTGAGCCCGTGCTTCAAACTCCCAGATCGTTGATAAATGACGACTACCCTTTCGACCACGACTACGACCTGTCAGGATACGTTGTCTTTAGTGGCATGGTTTGGGTGTATACGGGGTCATGCTGCTTCATAGATGGGAACGGTCGACTGCGAAGTGCTTTTGCGCGTATTTTAGGACAGCATAGTCATGCGAGTCATGTCGCTTCCCATGGCCGCTCGTCCCTTAATTGATGCCCCAAAGCATTGGCCCGCATGCCCCTGGCGCCGAAGTTCAACTACAACCTTTGGATATCGTCGGATCGGATTCTAAGTGAATGCCAGCAGCATTGAGCTTGGTGAGGTTCGTGCTTTTTCCCGAGGCACGATCAAGGCATCTCGCCGACCTCAAGAAGAAGAAGGAGGCAACGAGCTGTTGAGGTGTGAGGCGCCTAGGAAGGCAGCAGAGTCAAGTGAGTCAAGTCCTCTCTGATGGTCAGGAGAGAAGAGGTTTCGATTGGGATTTTTTGGCGATTCTTGGCTTTCGGGTAAGTCCATGTTACGCAGCATGATGATTCAGCTCGCCATGCAGCTCGCAGAGTTAGCGTGAGATGTTTGTGCCATTTTTCTGTCCGTCTAGATTCGCGGATGTTCGAGAAATTTGTAGGTTTCAATCGGAAAGCTTTTGGGCCTCTGTGAAGACATTCGCAGCACACTGTCGTGCAGTGGGCACTAAGGATGCTAAAACTTCATGCGCGCGACCAGCATGTGTGCTGTCGGTTGTCGGCATCGACTTCTGAAAACTGGCTTTCGGAACGAATCGTCGAATCCGAAGCCACCGAACTGCCTGAGGGTCCGAGTGCGAGACGACACTCCAAAGCCCAAGAGGCCTGGGCACAGCTCGTCCTGGTGGATGTGATCACCTGGCTCGTGCTCAATGGGCTCGCATCAGAGGTACGGAGTTCAGTCAAATGCAAATTCTGCGTTCCAAATCACATGTTGAAGGGTGCATACAAAGTAGGCGGAGTTGGAGTTGATCCCCAAGGGTTTGAGTGAGGGATTGCACGTGGGTTCTCAAACCGCCCCTGAAGATTCATCTGCATTCCCAATCAGAGGTCATCGGCCCTTGTTGGCAGATTGCTTGGTTTAGTCGACACACTTATCAATGCGTTTTCCGTCCAAACAGTCTAAGGGGTTCCAATGAAAGGAGTAATATAACCTTGTAAGAACAGTAAGAGGGGTTGACATGTTGTGCGCCCGCGGTGCATGAGGGCGCGGCGCCCGAGGCCCGCATTTTGGTCGCAAATCGTGCGCGTGCCTAGGCCTAGGCACGGGCGTGGCCGCGGAGTTTTTCAGGACTCCCGAAACGTTTTTCTGTTTCATTGGCATCTGCGGTCGCGAAGTGCGAAACTGTTTTCGCTTCTGGCGGGCGCGCGAAATTCGACGCTTTTGGACGTTTGCGCTCGTGGAATGCGAAGTTGCCGCTACGAAATGCGAGGCTCTCGTTTGATTGTACTTGCTGGGCTCGCGAGATGCGACAACTTCATCGCTTTTGGACTTCTGGGCTCCTGCTCCAAGGTCTTGTCGCTGTTGGACAGGTCACTGGACAGGTCTTGGAGTGATTTTTTTGCAATGGGCTTGGAGTGCCTTCTCGGTTGAACTCTCTCAGTCAGCCCAGTATTCTCAACCCGAAATCGTGCATGCCCGAAGGCCAGCAAGCGACAGCTCCTGTACCAGCAAGACCTGCGGAATCTCTGGCGGAGCGCCGCCTGCGTGGGGCCCTGGCTCGACCTTCTCGAGGCAAGTCCCTCTGTCAAAGTACTTCTAAGGGAACGTCCCTGAAAGGCTTTGTTCTTACCATGTAACTGTCAGAGTACGTAGAAATTCCGTATATATGTGCAGGTCAATTTTTCTATACTATATATTGGACGTTCGATGCCCAGTCTCGACTCTCCGATCGTCATGTGTATGCGCGCAATGCCAAGGCAGCGTCTTAGAAGCGCGACGAGACCCAGAGGCCTGGCTGCTTCAGGCACAGGGGGTCGGCTAGTGCTAAGGATGCCTCAGACCTCAGCTCTTGAACATCTGCTCTGCTAGAACTTAGCTATCCCAACACCAAGTCATGATTCTGAAGCCTGCAGCTCCTTCTTCCCACAAGGGTGGGTCCGCAGCATTTCTGTGGGACATTCCAACCCAGTTCCCAGCACTCCAAGACCTTCAGCAATAAGTTTGCACTGTCGGCTCTGTGCCGTTCAGCTCACCGCAGGTGCCTACACTCATCCTACAAGCCTTACCCACACCTCCATCAAACCCCTGCCTTTCTACGTGTTTTTATGCTGGGCCATGGCCTCAGCGCCTGCCGAACCGGCGTCCCCATCTCAGAACTCCCTCAACACTCCCTCAACTAAGCGGCTTCTTCGGATCATGATAGATAAAGTGGGGCCCTCGATAACCAAGATACCATTCGTCTCTATGAGCCTTTTCTCTAGACATTGAGTTTGTGTTAGGCTTGAAGGCTCCAAGGTGATTCCAACAGGTTCCTGCTTCCGTGTCTTAGCAAGATACCTGGTTTGCACCTGCCTCGCTTGTCAAGAGCTAGTCTTGTTGGAAAGAAATCTGTAGAGACTGTGTAGGGTTGCGAACGGAATGTGACTGCTTTGAGATGTCGCTGATAGGCAGATGGCAGACAAGACGGGGGTGAGGGACAGCATCGACTCGTGCAGAAGATTGATGAAACTAAACTGAAATGTCACGGCAATTATGAAGTGAGACGGCTCAGAACAAAAATGCTTTTGCTTCAGGGTCTGGACCCGAGCGCTGCAGGCAGGCAACAGTGCTCGATCCAACGACTGGCCTTCCTCCGGGATGGCGGCAGCGCGAGAAGACAATCTTGCCCCCCTGGCTAGTTCAGATGTCGTGGTTGGTGGTTCCCCCAGCTCGAACGGGCTCGTATGCGCAATGCGCATCCAGATATTCGGAATAGGTTGGTTTCCTGTTTGGCTGCATTCCTTTCAGTGTTCAAGTCCTCTTTACTGAAACAAAGTAGTTTCTGGGCTTCGAAAAATCCTCTTTGATGATGTTCGTACTTCGTCCCATGCGAAATGCACATTTTCGACCCAAAAACCATTGCGGCAGTCTGGGATTTGTTTGACCAAGTAGTTGGAATGCGGTGCGGGTTTGGCCGTGGTAGATTGCACTTTTTTCGTGTTTTGCCTCGGTAATTTGCGACAGTTCCCCACTGTCTCTGCTTTTACACTTTGCAATTTGTTGCTTCGCCCTTTCTCTACTCTATGTGTCCGTTTGCCTGCGTTTTTGCTTTCGGACTGTTTTGGGGCATTTAATGGTTTCGGTACTGTAATTGTTTATACTCTGCGTTTTCTGGGCTCTTCTTGTTGCTTTCGTCGCTTTTGTTCAGCTTTTGTGTGTTTTGTGTCTTGGGTTGCTTGACATGTGCTTTGCAGATCGGCCTTGAAGTGCCCGATCTTTTTGTTGGCTTTTTTGTTTGGGGGAGGAGGGGGAAGAACGTTCATGCTGTTTGTCTTCACCAGCAATTCAAGCCCAAAGCCTGAAAACCTGTTCCCCAGTCCCCCTTACCCTAGCTTCTCGCACAGTGCAAGCAGCGCAACAATGAACACCTGAATAACATGTATTCTCAAAAAGAAGCTCCCGCAAGCCCCCAACACAGCAGTGCAAACCCCAAATATCCAATCTTCAAACCTCCAGAACATATATTATTGAAGCTTCTCAAAAAAGAAATGTCGGCAAGCTACAAAGCAACAGTGCAAGCCCAAGATTTCAAGCCTCAAAAGCTGCAAAAAATCACGCAATTCTACCTTGCATTGCACCTCCAATTTCGTAGCCGAGCGTGAGTAGCCTTAAAGAGCTGCGGTTTTTGAGAACTTGAGTCAACCTGCGTCTCTGCAGGGCCCTTGAGCTCGAACCTGAACATGCACGCTGCATAGTGTTCCTGAGTAGTCACTTCACAAGCTATTTCTAAAACAGTAGTTTCCGGAAGCCCGAGAATCATGAATGAGCTTAAAGCTCGAGTTTTGGACCCACAACATGCACCATGACCCGCGGCCGAATCCGCGCCGCACACCTAGTAACCTAGTAGTTCGACTTTGGAATGCAAAATGGTGAACTGCGACGGGTTGCGGATTCCTCGTGTTTAGATTAAGTTTAGATGTGCCAAGGGGCGCATCTCAAGTACAGACGCAACGGAGGTAGTCGCATGTCTATTCGACCATTGCCAAGCTTTCCCGATGCTAACAGTAAGGACGGGCGTCAAAGCTGGGGAGCCGCTTGTTCAGAGGTCCAGCCTTACCTTTTACTATGGTTTGTAGCTGCTGAGGATTTGGGCTGTGCCTGTTTGGATGCGCAGCGTGCATGTCAAGAGCCACGTTCAGCTTGGAGACAGTTGATAGGCTCAGACAGAATTCTTTTTGTTGATGTCACAAGTTTGTCGCTTTGAACAGGGCCTGAGAAGCGAAGACGACTAATTAGTAGGGTATGTGGCAATACGACCATGATCAGGAATTTTGGTCATAAAGAGGTTGTGCGAAGCATGCCTGTCGCTTCGGCTTCGGCGTTTGAGGCATTAGCGTCGCGGTGGGGGCCGAAATGCATAAGCCGTCCCAAGTCATGGAAGATGCGTTGTCCGGCCAAAACAGCTGTGGAGTCATTTCAAGGATGCTTTTGTTGCTGTAGGGCGAGTGAAGAGCAAGGCTTGACATTGCTCAGCTTCCACCTCTTATCTCTCTTCAGCGAGTGGGACCCACTTGAGGGTACGATCCAGGGTGGGGATGGGTGGGCATGGGCCTGGGGAGCGGACACAAGGACCCAGCCATTCTTCGAGAACCTCCAGGGCAAGAGAGCCGATTCCATCAGGAAGCTCATGAAGTTCGTGTGCGACGTAACAGGCGAAGATGTGGAGCAGTTGGTGCAGCAGAGCATGGCCATCAGAAGCCCCCCGAATCTTCGCTGCAAGATTTGTTGCGAGAGCTGCTTCTCCCCCTGTTTGGCATCGTCTCCCCTGAATAGCCCATCCGGAGCCCAAATGACAGCACCAAAGGGGCTCTGACGTCCGCCCCATCCACCCGATCGAGCCTGAAGTTCCAAGGAAGCCCAACCATGAATTGAACAATCTTCAGTGAAAGCATCACTGCCACCACCCCACTGAAATGCTAGAAGCTCCAAACAGTATTCTGAGCGAACATGCTTCCGAGGAAGAGCGACAAATCGAAAGCCGCGCCGAAGGGTAAGGCGAAGGCAGCTGGGGCGGCATGTGCTTTACTTTACCTTTGCCATTTTAGTTTGCGTGTGTTGGGGATCTTCGACTTCTGTTTGCATGGTGGCTTGACAGCTTGTTGGACGGTTGAAGGCGAGGGCTCCGACCATAGTACCCGAAACTGCCGAAAATTGGAGCGCCTCAAAAGTTCGACGTTGGAATGATTGGGGGGCTTGCGTTGCACGGCTCCTGCGTTCAAGTCTGGTCTTGATCTCCTTAACGCATACCCGGACGGCCACCCCTTGATCCGAGCCCTTAAGCTGACTGCAGCCCGGATCACTGTTGCTGTGCTGGGCCCGGGGCCTAGCGCCCCGGTGGTCGTCCTCCTTCTCGATAGCCGGCGGCGCGGATGGGCGCTGGATGGCGCTAGCAGGTCCGCTATGGCTACCACCGCGGTCGCTGTAGCCACGTCCGAACCCCAACAATCATAGCGGCAGCGGGACGTTGCTCCGCGATAGCTCCATGCAAGGGTCATCGTGCCATAGCGGTGTAGCCATCTGCCAACACTGGTCGAGGCTATCCAGTAGCTCTTGCCTAGTCGGCCTAGCTGTGGACGGGTGCAGGAGTAGCTCGGTCCATGCTGTCCCGCAGCCTGTGTAGCTTGCCAGGACGTTGCCGGGGCCAGAGCTGGCGGAAACATCGCCTTGCCTCTGCTAGCGGCTAGCGCTCCTATAGCCGCCTCTTCGCAGAGGTGTTCCCTAGACTAACCGACCCCTCTTGGCAGGCCCACGTAGCCTGGACATCATGCGCGGGGCCGGGAGGCCGTGAATTAAGCTATATCATATCCGACTTTTTACACTTTGTTTGAGAACCGGCTGCTGACAAATATGGACACATGGGCGGAGACGTTTAATGCGCCTTGATGTAGCGGCGGAGGTGGATTACGGTGGTCGTGCAGACTGGCTGATTCGGAGTTGGCCGCGTGACCCATGCGCTAGACAACGTGTTTCGAGGCCCACATTTTTAACCCAACCTTTCGGCAAACGCAACTCGCTCTCTCCCGGTCTTGTTCCAGCATCTTTGCTGGCTCCACATGCCAGATCATGCCCGTCGTATCAACTTCTGCGGGAACACTTGGTAACTAAAGCCGACTCGGCTAAGCCACGCAAAGCATGAGCAAGCGACTCACGTACTTAATTACGTGTGTCCACACCGGCATAAAGTGCGCGCACCCGGACTTGTGCACACGCGTCATGACGTACAGTGTGTAGGCATGCGAGAAACCGCAAAAGGCGACGGCAAAAGGCGACCGCGCATGGCCATCGACGGTAAACGATTTCGGGAGTTTCAGTTCCCGAGACACTCATGTTCGCGTTCTGGCCGCATCCATTGTTTGAGCGTTTGCCACCGCAGCGCTTCCGGCGTCAAACTTTCAAGCACCAACCTGTTTTCGCTCTGCCATTGCTAGTCGCCATGCTGTGTGGCACGGCGGTCCTCACCCTGGTCGCACTCTCGCCATGGAACACGTCGTCGAGTTGGGAGCATCGGGAATGCATGGGTGGAGCTCGTAGAAAGAAGTGGTTGATGTTGTGTAGGAGCCTCCAAGCTGGCAGTCAGAAGAGGCTCGAATCGAAGTGTGGCGGGTGATTGGATGCCGTAGTCTTGCATTCTCTTCGTTTGGCAGGAAGTTGCCGCTCACCTCAGTGGCCTCTTGAAGCACGCGGCGCGAAGACGGCGCTGAGGGTCTTGGTTTCGCGCAGTTCCGCACTCGTGAATAGCTTGCTGTTTACGACCGTGTATGCTAG